TTTATCACTGTCTTAAATTATTGCTTCTTTTGGGCTTTTTCACAGATTTAATGATTCGTCTTTGTAGGATGTATAGATTTTATTTTTTTAAAGTATATAGATACGTTTGATTTTTCAGCTGGTTATTCTTCACTTGGTAATGATTTTGCTTCTTCTATCATTACTCTGTGAAAAGTTTTGATTTCTCATATACGACATTTAATTTCTCATCTTAATTTAGTCGAGAAATTGTTATTTATTGTAAGAATTATTGGTAAAGGTGTTAGCAAACAATTCTGGCTTGATTATTAGTTAAATAGCACTTTCTTTTCTAAAACGCTTCAATTTTTGTTGGTATGTTATGGTTTATTTGCCTGTAAGGATAGAAGAGCTTACTTCGGAAATAAATGGGTTATTTATAAGAGTATGAGGTGACGCTTTTTAAAGTGAGTGTTTTCGTTTGATTGAAGAGAAGTTTCAAGAAATCACCTTATCATAGTTCTGTATAATGTGTTGAAAGAACGTGAAATTTCTTCGTTCTAATAAATATCATTTGGGCGCAAATTTTTAATACAAATGTTCCTTGCTGTTTCGCTGAGCTTCTTTTACTGTAAAATGTAGTTAATTTTTGAAATGACGCTATTTTACGTTAAGGACTCTATCGCCATCGTCTTCCCAACTTGAACAAGGCTTTACTGAATGTAACATCGGAGGTTTCAACCTGATAGACGAGATTAAGAAGAACCCAGATCAGGTTTTGTTACTCACAATTTATATGTTTCAAGGTCGGGAGAAAGGTGCCTATCGAAGCTTACTTTTGCTTCAGTGAATTTAGTTTTTGTAAAAAAAATTTTTTTCTCAATGAATTTGTTTTTTGGCATTTTGGTTTTTCTCTTCTGCTGACGTATATGAATTGTTAACTTTCAAAGTTTTGTATCACATTGCCATTCAACTTTGTTATATACAAAAGATTGTAGGTTTCATGGATTGGCGAACCTTCGCCGACACCACTAGCAGTAATACATGGACCAACTGGTACATTCGCTGTAACAAAAAGCGTTATTATTATTGGCAGGGATACCACTGATTCAGATCTTGATCTCACTTCTCAGGTTTCTCTTCAAGTTATTAAAGTAGCTCATTTTTAGGTATCTTGATTATACGCTCTGTTTCATTATTACTAACTCTATCTTTTTTATTCTCAGGAGCATTCTTTCTCTTGTTTTTCTTATTTTTCTGTTAGAGGCCGTGGAGGCTAATAATCTTTCTGAATAGCAACTGTGTTGCAAGACAGTTACTGGAAGTAATTATAGAGTTGAAAAAACCGACGCAGTATTTAGCAAATACTCTCAGGATAATTATTGAAGTAACGAGTTTTTGGAACAGTTTTTTCCTTTTTTTTGATTAGCTGGTGAGGCATTATTCAAGGGTCATTTTTTATTGTTTTTGTAAAACAGTTTTTGTTTTTTCTTCATTGGTTGGAGTTTGGTGATTTTGCCAATTGGAGTTTTGAAGTTACTGAATCAGTTTCTTTTTGACGCACAAGTTTTTTTTTGCAAGTTTGATTCTCAATGAGAATTTGTTTCAAGTTGCATGTTGTTTTTTTACAGATGTAAACTGTTCCTCCTGGAGTAAAAGTTTTAGGAAGCTAATTTTCGTAGTAGTTCCAATATGGTACTTTCTTATACGGGCTATCCAAATCGTTGGGGTGTTAAAATAAACGGGAGTAATGGTGTGATCATTAACAAGAAGTTGTATCAGCAGTCT